GTGTGTGTGCGTGTGTGTGTGTGTGTGTGTGTGTGTGTGTGTGTGTGTGTGTGTGTGTGTGTATGTATACAGGTCCTTCTCAAAAAATTAGCATATTGTGATAAAGGTCATTATTTTCCATAATGTAATGATAAAAATGAAACTTTCATATATTTCAGATTCATTGCACTCCAACTGAAATATTTCAGGTCTTTAATTGTTTTAATACTGATGATTATGGCATACAGCTCATGAAAACCCAAAATGCTTGTCCCAAAAAATTAGCATATTTCATCCCACCAATGAAAGACAAGTGTTTTTAATACAAAAAATGCCAACCTTCAAATAATCATGTTCAGTTATGCACTCAATACTTTGTCGGGAATCCTTTTTCATGAATGACTGCTTCAATGCGGCGTGGCATGGAGGCAATCAGCCTGTGGCACTGCTGAGGTGTTATGGAGGCCCAGGATGCTTCGATAGCGGCCTTAAGCTCATCCAGAGTGTTGGTTCTTGCGTCTCTCAACTTTCTCTTCACAATATCCCACAGGTTCTCTATGGGGTTCAGGTCAGGAGAGTTGGCAGACCAATTGAGCACAGTAATACCATGGTCAGTAAACCATTTACCAGTGGTTTTGGCACTGTGAGCAGGTGCCAGGTCGTGCTGAAAAATGAAATCTTCATCTCCATAAAGCTTTTCAGCAGATGGAAGCATGAAGTGCTCCAAAATCTCCTGATAGCAAGCTGCATTGACCCTGCCCTTGATAAAACACAGTGGACCAACACCAGCAGCTGACATGGCACCCCAGACTATCACTGACTGTGGGTGCTTCACACTGGACTTCTGGCATTTTGGCATTTCCTTCTCCCCAGTCTTCCTCCAGACTCTGGCACCTTGATTTCCGAATGACATGCAAAATTTGCTTTCATCCGAAAAAAGTACTTTGGACCACTGAGCAACAGTCCTGTGCTGCTTCTCTGTAGCCCAGGTCAGGCGCTTCTGCCGCTGTTTCTGGTTCAAAAGTGGCTTGACCTGGGGAAATGAGGCACCTGTAGCCCATTTCCTGCACACGCCTGTGCACGGTGGCTCTGGATGTTTATACTCCAGACTCAGTCCACTGCTTCCGCAGGTCTCCCAAGGTCTGGAATCGGCCCTTCTCCACAATCCTCCTCAGGGTCCGGTCACCTCTTCTCGTTGTGCAGCGTTTTCTGCCACACTTTTCCCTTCCCACAGACTTCCCACTGAGGTGCCTTGATACAGCACTCTGGGAACAGCCTATTCGTTCAGCAATTTCTTTTTGTGTCTTACCCTCTTGCTTGAGGGTGTCAATGATGGCCTTCTGGACAGCAGTCAGGTCGGCAGTCTTACCCATGATTGCTGTTTTGAGTAATGAACAAGGCTGGGAGTTTTTAAAAGCCTCAGGAATATTTTGCAGGTGTTTAGAGTTACGTCGTTGATTCAGATGGTTAGGTTAATAGCTTGTTTAGAGAACCTTTTCATGATATGCTAATTTTTTGGGACAGGCATTTTGAGTTTTCATGAGCTGTATGCCATAATCATCAGTATTAAAACAATTAAAGACCTGAAATATTTCAGTTGGTGTGCAATGAATCTGAAATATATGAAAGATTCATTTTTTTCAACACATTATGGAAAATAATAACCTTTATCACAATTTGCTAATTTTTTGAGAAGGACCTGTATATGTATATATATATATGTATGCATCTATATTTATATATATATATATATATATATGTACGTACGTACGTACGTTCATACATACATACATACATACATACATACACACACACACACACATACACACATACACACATACACACATACATACATACCGGATTCCAAAAAAGTTGGGACACTAAACAAATTGTGAAGAATAACTGAATGCAATGATGTGGAGATGGCAAATGTCAATATTTTATTCAGAATATAACATAGATGACAGATCAAAAGTTTAATCTGAGTAAATGTAACATTTTAAAGGAAAAATATGTTGATTCAAAATTTCACAGTGTCAACAAATCCCCAAAATGTTGGGACAAGTAGCAATAAGTGGCTTTAAAAAGGAAATTGAGCATATAACAAACAGCTGGAAGACCAATTAACTCTAATGAGGTCAATTGACAACATGATTGGGTATAAAAAGAGCTTCTCAGTGTGTCAGTGTCTCTCAGAAGCCAAGATGGTAAGAGGATCACCAATTCCACCATTGTTGCGTAGAAAGATAGTGCAGCAATACCAGAATGGTGTTACCCAGCGTAAAATAGCAAAGACTTTTAAGTTATCATCATCAACCGTGTATAACATCATCAAAAGATTCAGAGAATCTGGAACAATCGCTGTGCGTAAGGGTCAAGATCGTAAAACTCTACTGGATGCTCGTGATCTCGGGGCCCTTAAACGTCACTGCACCTCAAACAGGAATGCCACTGTCAAGGAAATAACAGAATGGGCTCAGGAATACTTCCAGAAAGCATTGCCAGTGAACACAATCCACCGTGCCATCCGCCATTGCCAGCTGAAACTCTACAGTGCAAAGAGGAAGCCATTTCTAAGCAAGCTCCACAAGCTCAGACGTTTGCACTGGGCCAGGGGTAATTTAAAATAGAGTGTGGCAAAATGGAAGACTGTTCTGTGGTCAGATGAGTCACGATTTGAAGTTCTTTATGGAACACTGGGACGCCATGTCATCTGGACCAGAGAGGACAAGGATAGCCCAAGTTGTTATCAATGCTCCGTTCAGAAGCCTGCATCACTGATGGTATGAGGTTGCATGAGCGCTTGTGGCATGGGCAGCTTGCATGTCTGGAAAGGCACCATTAATGCAGAGAACTATGTTCAGGTTCTAGAACAACATATGCTCCCATCTAGACGTCATCTCTTTCAGGGAAGACCCTGCATTTTTCAACACGATAATGCCAGACCACATTCTGCAGCAATCACAACATCATGGCTACGTAGGAGAAGGATCCGGGTACAGAAATGGCCAGCCTGCAGTCCAGATCTTTCACTTATAGAGAACTTTTGGCGCATCATAAAGAGGAAGGTGTGACAAAGAAGGCCCAAGACGATTGAACAGTTCGAGGCCTGTATTAGACATGAATGGGAGAGCATTCCTATTTCTAAACTTGATAAACTGGTCTCCTCTGTCCCCAGACGTCTGTTGAGTGTTGTAAGAAGAACGGGGGATGCCACACAGTGGTAAAAATGGACTCGTCCCAACTTATTTGGGATTTGTTGACGCCATGAAATTTGGAAACAACAGATTTTTCTCTTAAAATGATACATTCTCTCAGTTTAAACTTTTGATCTGTGATTTGTGTTCTATTCTGAATAAAATATTAGATGTTGGCACCTCCACATCATTGCATTCAGCTTTTATTCACAATTTGTTTTGTGTCCCAACTTTTATCGAATCCGGTTTATACATACACACACACATGCATACAAAAACGGCTACATTAAAAAGCGATGTAATATAGTAAAAACGTTAACATGTCTGTGTTGGTTTATGCCAGGAATTTAGCAGATGTTTAAAGCCATAATCACTTTAATATCTCTCGCTTGGAGAGAAAAGTTCTCGATGGGAAAAGGGGAGAGGCTGAAAAAACTGAACAGATTCATAATAAATTAACTGATTAGTAATCAAATGAACTGATTGGTAACAGTAGTCATGAACTGTTTAGTGACATTAGAACAAAAACCAACAGTCACAAACTTGTGACTGATGAACAAATATCTCACACTGTAATTGCATGCAGTCAGATGTGAGTTTAAACGAAGTTCCATGAAAACAATGAGATTCATTCTGTTAAGGCACCGAGAACAGAATGCGTCATGGAGCGAGCCGACACACCATGCAGATAGAAGCAAATAAATGAGCAGGGCGATGACCATGCGGCCGCAGTGCAAATATCCTGCATTGTCATACCATTATGCAAGGCGGTCGAGGATACGATTCCTCTGGTCGAGTGCGCCCTGAGGTTGTCAGGGGGCTCTAAACCTGATGCTCTGTAAGCTTCAGAAATAGCCTCACACAGCCAGTGTGACAGGCGCTGGGTGGATAACGGGCGACCTGCAGAGGCGTCTCTATAATGCACAAACAAATGTTGAGTCTGACGCAGTGTGGCCGTGCATGCTACGTAACATGCCAACGCACACACAGGGCAGAGAAGATGAAAAGATGCTTCTTCTTATGATTTGTGGGGAGGAGGTGCGCCCGCACCGGCAGCCCAGAGCGGGGTGGGGGGAGAGAAAAAAGTTGAGTTGTGCTGGTGGGGGTGAGGGAGAGCAAAAATCTTTAAAAGTTCTTTTTAAGTTCTGTGAAGTACTTCAACACCAGACTGAAACTTTTCAAGAATTCTGTGCGGTCCAGTCTAGTCCAGTAAAACATTTGGTTCAAAACATCTCTGAACTTTGTCCTGGTTTGGAGATAAAAGTTTGAAATACATCAGGTGGATGTGGTCAGGCTGCAGCAGCTGGTCTTCAGAGAGCAGGTTTCGATTCTTTGCTGTGAGGGACACTCTCAACATGACAAACGATTAAACGTTACCAAGTTTTACTAACATGGACCGAATCTGTCGCCAAAACCATGTCCATGACTGTTCAGAATCACATGAGTGTTCTGAGATTCTAGTCTTCCTATGCTAATGCTAGTCCTGGTCCTCTCATGGTAATAATTTTTGAGCATGAACCGTTGTGGTTTTTGTACAGGGACTACTCTCCCAGACCTGAACACGAGAAGAGTTGGAGAGGGGCCCGTAGCGCCGATCATAGTCCAAACCGCAGACGCGCCAAGAGCCTGCCACGAAGCAAGAGCCGACCCCGAGGTCAAAGCCGGAGTCCAGAGCGGAGCCAGGTCAAGTCCCGAGGCCGAAGCCAGAGTCGTAGTCCAGACCGGAGTCGGGCCAAGAGCCGGGGTCGGAGCAAGAGCCGACCTCGAGGCCATAGCCGGGAGAGGAGCAAGAGCCGGAGTCCGGACCGCAGTCAAGCCAAGAATCGGGGACGGAGCAAGAGCCGTCATCGCAGTAGATCCAAATCGAGGTCCAGATCTAGATCTCGAAAGAGGAGCAGAGGAAGAAGTCGTGGGCGAGGCCATGGCCGCAGTAAGAGCCGCAGCAGCAGCAGCTCTAGCAGCAACTCCACATCCAGCGTGTACAGAAAAGCTGGATCCTTCAAAGAGCTGGACATCGCCAGACGCCGTAAGGAGCTGGAGGAGCTCCTGATGCAACCTACCAAGTCCATTCTGAAAAAAAGCAATTACGATGACTCACCGTCTATCAAGGTAAGACTGCATTTTTATTTCCTTTGAGACTAGACATGAGCCTGATACCAGACTTTATCTTGGTACCGAACCTGAGATTAATACTGGACCAGAGCCTGCAATGGATATTAGGCTGGTACCAGACCTGACCTTGGTACCAGATATGAGTCATGTACCAACTGAAACGGAGCCATCAGTTCCTTCTGGATGTAGTGCTTTTTATCTATGATTTCAATTTGCTGTGATTTTGCAGGACTCGCCTCAGGATCCACACAGTACCACGATGTCCCACATGGCCAACCAGCTCCTGCAGGCTGTTAGGAGTACCAACCCGCAAACCATGGCCTCCACGCTGTCGGAGCTTCGTTCTGACTTGCACCTGGCTCAGCGTCCTGGCCTCAATGCAGAGATTACAGAAATCATCAACTTGCTTGAGGGGGCCGTGTCGGGGGGTGGAGGTCAGCAGAAAGTTCAAAATGAAATTGATGACGAGGAGAAGTTTTTGTATGGTGATTCAGAAGAATCCAAACCCCAGCCAGAGCACGTTCAACACCACAGCTTGGACTTGTACGGGAACGTGACTGAGGACTCGCTATACTCTGAACCTTCATCACAGAGAGCTCCCCTCACTCAGCTATATGGTTGCCTCCCCCCTCCAGTTACACCCTACCTTGAGGCCACACCTACGGTGAGTGAGATGGACAAGTATGTGAGTGGGCCTACAGCAAGCTCCCAACAGAACGTTACAGTCCAGATGTCAAATCCTATCCACCCGCCAGAAATGGAGTCGCTGGGGGAGAATGAGCACCAGGCAAACCAGGAGTACGAACAGATCCAGGACCTGCTAAAGACCATTGGACTGGACCTGGGAGTGACAGAAATCAGCAAGATGGCTGCCAGAACCAAAGAACGCCTTCAGGGGAAAAAGCCGCCTCCGAAAACTCCCACGCGCCGAAACCGGTACTCCTCTGACAGCTCAGATAACAGCCGGTATAGCCGGGGCCACAAGAGGCGAAGCCACAGCAGCAGTTCAAGCAGCAGCAGCAGCAGAAGTCACAGCCGTGAGCCAAGCAACAAGGTGGGGGGCAATTGGAGCAGCGACGACGACGAGCGCAAGAAGGATACAGCTCCGCCCAAAACGCAAGACACAAACGAAGCAACAAGCAAGTGGATTGATGCGCCACCACTGCAGCCTCAGACCACCAACCCCACATCAGTCACCCCTCACTCCGGGATGCCGATCCCCACCTACCCCCCCACGCAGGTCCACAGCATGATGCCCCCTACTTTCCCCCCACCTGGATATGGCCAGTACAGCAACTACATGCCCTACATGCATCAGCAGTGGCCCCCGATGTACCTGCCCCCTAACATGGCCCTGCCCCCTCAGACCACCGGCAGTGACTTGCCTCCTCCTCAACCTTACAAGCAACCCTACGAAAACCCATCCCTCGAGGCCGGGGTCAAAGGTGAGCCTCCAGGGCCAAGACAAGAACTAGATAAGAAAAAGATGGCAGTAACACGGCAAAAACACAAACACGACATAGCAGAAATGTACACTTGACATAGCAATGGTTTGGGAGGTTGGTTGGTAGGGGGGCAGGCTACCATCTCATCTACCAGGGAATACTCCCAACATACAGGCACCAAGCTGGGTGTCTATAAGTAAACACACCAGCTTGGTGCCTCTCACCATGGGCAACTCCAGAGTGGAAGAAGGTCGAGCTATTCTTGAGATCGGCCCCAGAAATGGCACTGTTGAGAAAAACTTGACAATAAATGGCTGGTACCTCTGAACCACAGACACACAGACTCAGGCTCCTTCTCCACCAGAGGGGGTACTGTTCATGTCTCCAAAGCTAGCTTTGGAAGGCCAGGGTCAAAACTCCAAGGTCCCTGCCTGGAACCTGAACCGAACACGACAGTAAAGCAAATGTGACACAACACATCAAAACTGTACACCTGACATGGCAAAACCAGAAACTTTACATTGCAATGTCATAATGGTGAGACAGCAAAAATGCAAACGTGTCTCGACAATATCACAAATGTAAACAAACATCAAACAGAAGTTAAAGTTAACACGAAAATATCACGAACATCACATGGCAGTATCACAAATACAGCTTTCTCACTAACTTTTAGAGTAGGAGTCAACGGCTCAGAGTAGGAGGCTGGAGTCATTTCTAATATCAACACATAGATGTTCTGTGGTGAACATGTTGGTGAACTTAGACTGTTTAAACACTGATCAGTGATAAAAATATCTGACCTGCATCACAGACAAGAATAGTTATGAAGCCATAATCGGCAGCATCGTCAATCAATTTTATAGAGCGGGTTTACATACATTTTCAAGAATCTAATAAAGAATTATTTCACAATTAATTTATCTTTATTCTTGATCTTGCAGCAGTCCCAGCTGAGTGCACGCAGCTAAAAAAAAACTTAACTTTGTTTTCATGTAACTACAGACCATATCATGAAATGTGATCCACATCAAAAGCATCATATTGTGAACATTTGAATAAAACTTTAACCCTTTCACTTTATGACAATTCATGTTCCTCGGGGGGGGGGGGGGGGGGGGGG